CTGACCACACCCACCTTTTAGATTACAGGTGTAGGAGTTGAGGTTTCAAATAACCATATACTTAATAAGTAGATGATGTAAAGCACCACTGATTGAAGGAACATAAAACATCCTATATCATGAAGAGCTAATATGCTAATTAGACCAAGCAGACAGGATGACCTTTCCTGATGAAGCTGGGACTGTGAGGGCTGGCTGAGGCTGCGAGGGGCTGCAAGAGGCAGCCGGGGCTGTAAGAGCTGAGCCCCTGCACAAATTTTTGTGCACCAGGCCTTTAGTCCTATATAATAAAAGCCTAATATGCTAAGTGTCTGGTCATCTGGCCGGCCATTCAACCAATCAAAGCGTAATATGCTAATGATATGCTAAGAATGCTCAACCGCTCACTGACCACCAGGGGGGCAGACACTTCAACCAGTGGGTTAGCTTGCTGCTGGGCGATCGGGACTGAGCATGATGGGCTAGACACGCTCTGGTGGCTTGCATAGTCCTGCAGTATTCTGTTTCCTTTCTCTCTCTGATCTCATTTTTATTTCCCTTACACTCTGTTCTCAGGACATACTCCTGAATATACTTAATCTGCTAGCTTTTTTCCCTTTATGGTTATGCTAACGAATCAATCTATATAAATTTTTAGAAATGAATTTATACCAATCTGTGTCTTCTGTTACAATCACACATGGAGGTAGAGTGTTGCATTTTTTTCAACCAAAAGCGTCGTGGTTTTTTTTCATGTTTAATAATTTTCTTTCTAAAACATTTTGTTATTTAAAAAAAAATACAGGTAGAATAGTACTAGAGACTTGCATTGTTTACTTTCATAATTTTGTTGTATTATCTAATGTGCATAAATATCTTTTATAAAATTCTCTTTCAGAGTTTCCAGGAAATGAGTCTTTTTGGAAAATCAGAATTAGAGAAAACTATTGAACATTTAACATACGTTAATCACCAGGTAATTTATCAAATTGGATTTGGGGTATATTATGTTGTATGAATGACTATGTTAACTATAGTTTTAATAATACTGTATATTTTTGATATTACAAAATAGTTTGATGCTAGAGCAGCTGTATAAAAATGATAGACTCTGTACTACGAAGACTGCCTACTTGCGTCCAAATCCCTCTCTATCACCTATTACCTGCAGGCAGTACTTAGACTTTCCATCCCTCAATTTTTTTATTTGTAAAATTGGAATAGTGCTAGTACTTAATCTGTGGAGAGTAAATGAGTTAATACATATTAAGAATTTAAAAGAGTCACTGGCATATTGTAAGTACGCAGTAGTGTTAGTTAGGCTTATTGTTTTGCCCTTGTTGAAAATTTAATATAAGGATGTAGAGTACACAGTAAAATTCATGTGCATTCCTTATTGCTCTCTTTAGAAATAGGATTTTGAACAAACTGGTATGCATTCTGACGGTCTTTTTTGTCTCTGTGTTTCATTTTGTCATTGTTTTTATTTGTTTACTAATTCTTTGATTGATTTCTTTCTCCTTTGGGTTAGTTGTTTTTTTTCTCTCCTCCTCGTGGTTTGTAGTTTCCTGCTTCTGTGCATGCTCAGTACCTTTAAATTGGATGTCAGACATTGTGAATTTTACCTTCTTGGTTGCTGGATTACTATAAATATTCTGGAGGTTTGTTCTGAGATACAATTAAGTCAGATAGAGGTAGCTTAATGCTTTTCACTTTTGCATTTAAGCTTCATTGGGTGGGACCAGAGTACATTTAGTATTGAACTAATTGTGTTTCATTACTGAGACAAAACCTTTTTGAGTACACTTCCTGTTACCCCATGAATTATGTTGTTTTCAAATGAGTGCTATGAACAGGAACTATTCCAGGCCCTGCATGAGTCCTGAGTATTGTTGCTTCTAATTCTTTGATGGTTCTTCCCCTGACCTTGAGTAGCATCCTCTATACTGAGCTCTGCTCAGCTGAAGACTCAAGGGCCACCCTTGGCAGAACTCCAGAGCTCTCACTCTGTGCAGCTCTCCTCCAGTATCTGCCCTGCAAACTCTAATCGTCTTGTCCTCCCTTGACTCTCAGTCCTGTCTTTTGAACTTAGGGGAACCACTAGACTCCACCTGGGTTCCTTTTCCTGTGCCACCGTTTGGAAATTCTTCAGGCAACAAGCTGGAGCAATCAGAGGGCTCATTTCATTTGTTTCTTGTCTCTCGGTCACTGTCAATCGTTGCCTGATGCTCAGTGTCTTGAAAACCATTGTTTTATATATTTTGTCTTTTTTTTTTTTAATTATTCAGATAGAAGGGTTCCTGTGACTCCAGCTTGTGTAGAAACTGAAAGTGAGAGTTAATGAACTGGAAAATATAAGTACTAGAAGTCACTGGAAAGAGACTAAGAGAAAATATAAAATAAGTTAAAGTCTTAAGAGAATGAAGTAAGAAGGTATATGTTTAGTCAGAATTCTAGAAGAATATAATAGAATGTAGGAGAGGCAGTAGTTGAAAAGATAATGGCTGATAATTTTCTAGGAATTATAAAACATAGGCATCCTCGGATTCAGAATGTGCAATGAATTCCAGTGGCATGATAAATAATACAATATACTTGTGTATAGATTTCCAGGCTCTTTATAGAAAACATTATGCAACCTTATTGAAAGACATTAAAGAAGACAAACAAGTGGAGATATATATCAGATTTATACAAAAAGGTGACAGATATTCATGTTTATAAAAAGAATGTACATTCTCCCCAAATTGATTTGTAAAGTTAATGTAGATCTGTCTGAAATCTCAAGAAGGTGGTGTGTGTGTGAACACTGACAGTAGATTTTAAAATTTGCATGGGAACAAAGAACCATGAATCACAAATTATTTTAAAGAAAAACATGATGTAGAAATTGTTCTGTTAGGTATGAAGGCTTCAGAGCTGGTAAATTTCCTCTATTTTATTTTTTAACCCCTTCTATTGATTTTTTAAAATATATATATTTTCTCACTTTCTTTATTTCCAAGAGAACATTTTAGAAAGAGGTGGGAGATATCTGGGTGTGAGAGTCCCAGTATATAGACTTTCAGCCAGTCTCCTTGTTAATTCTTCTCCTGACCCCAACCTAATGCTTGGTGCTTCAGCGAGCTGAGCTTCTTCTGGATACATCATCAGGCTGCATATTGGTATTTCCTGTTGTGGTCCCTTTAGATTAATGGTGCTCCTAAGAGGCAAATATCTGGGGAATTTTGGGTCGTCATAATTAGGGGAACAGGTGCTTCTTATATCTAGTAGGTATTGGCCAGGGAGGCTACTAAGCATCCTACAATACAGAGGACACCCTTCCCACCCCCCACAACAAAGAATTATCTGGCCCCTAAAGTCAGTAGTTTTTAGATTCAGAAACTGCTTTAGATTGTATCTTTCATTTTGAGTCATTCAATTTACTCTTGTCTTCCACAAGTTGTTGAAGTCACTTACTAGAGGCCTGGTGCATGAAAATTCGTGCACTTGGGAGGGTACCTCAACCCAGCCAGCTGGTGTCCTATCATGTCTGGGACCCCATCGGGGGATGTCCACCTGCTGGCTTAGGCCTGCTCCATGAGGAAGCGGGCCCAAGCTGGCAGTCAGCCATCCCTCTGGCAGCCTGGGAACCCTTGAGTGATGTCCACCTGCCACAGTCGGACATCCTTAGCACTGCCGAGAAGGTGGGAGAGGCTTCCTCAACCCCGCTGTGCACACAGCCTTCAGCCCGGCTTGTGGCTGAGCAGAGCACCCCCTGTGGAAGTGCACTGACCACCAGGGGGCAGCTCCTGTGTTGAGCGCCTGCCCCCTGGTGGTCAGTGTGCATCATAGCGACCTGTCGTTCCTGGTAGTTCGCCGTTAGCGCCCATTTGCATAACGCCCTTTTATTATAAATGATGATATGATGAGCATATAGTATAGCTTTCTTGTTCTTTTATTGCCATTTTAGCACTGTTTCCAGCGGGAGGAGAGATAAAATGTGATTAGTTTACAGTTTTAACTGGAAGACATTTATTACTAATATTTCTTGGTTTTGAAATTTATATGTAGATTATTCTATTTTGTATTTATTTTTGTACAGTATATAAAATGAAATAGAAATCTACCTATTTTTTCCTCCAATGAGTGGCTGTTCCAACTCTATTTTTAAAGTTTTTATTATTTTCTCTCTTCCTTAATTTACATCTGTGTACATATATTTTGTCAATTTCTATGTGAAATCCACACTGTTTTACAGTAGCTTTCTAATTTATTTTGACATCTCATAAGGCGAGTCGACTTGCATTCTTCCCCAACCCCAATTTTTCCTGGTTTGTTTTTTTAATGTCTGAACTTATTTATCTGTTCCTCATAGAAAAATCTCACTGTTGAATAAACTCAGACTTGGAGGTAGAAGTTCTCAGAGAGGACAGCCTATGTCTCTTGACAGTCTGCTCTGGCATTTTTCTTTGGCCTCCTTCATTCTCTTAGCCTAAAGTTTAGCATATTCTGTGGTGTCTTCCTTATTTTTCTTAGTACAGTATGCTGCTTCTTCAGAGCAGTATGCCAACTTGTTGCAGTACACGTGGAATAAAAGGACACTGAATCTTGGGTATTGTGGCCCTAGGTTTCGTACCTTCTTTATTTAGGGGTTTTCTCACAACATATTGACGGACATCTTCTTTAGAGGGATTGAAAAGTTTGTGGATTCTGCTAGCTCTTTTGGACCCCAGTTAACAAGGCACAGTACTATCAGTGAGACCGGGAATGTCTCCCTCCACCCCCCTTTTTCTTTTAATCCTCACCTGAGGATATTTTTCCACTGATTTTTAGGGAAAGTGGAAGAGAGAGGGAAAAACAGAGAAACATCAATGTGAGAGAAACACATTGATTGGTTGCCTCCTGCACGAACCCCAACCAAGGTCCAGGCTGGGGAGGAGCCTGCAACCAAGGTACGTGCCCTTGACCAGAATCAAACCTGGGACCCCTAGGTCCGCAGGCTGACGCTTTATCCACTGAGACATACTGGCTAGGGCATCTCCCCTTTTATAACAATGACCAAGTTGAGAATACTGAAATTGGCATCCACAATGCAACCTGAACAGAATTGCACTTCCTCCAGTCCTCCTTGGTCTATAACAGGAATCCCCTCTTAGTAGCAGATGTACTTGGCCATGGATCAAGACATACTGGTTGCCGAAACCGGTTTGGCTCAGTGGATAGAGCGTCAGCCTGCGGACTGAGAGGTCCCGGGTTCGATTCCGGTCAAGGGCATGTACCTGGGTTGCGGGCACATCCCCGGTGGTGGATGTGCAGGAGGCAGCTGATCGATGTTTCTCTCTCATCGATGTTTCTAACTCTATCTCTCTCCCTTCCTCTCTGTGAAAAATGAATAAAATATATTAAAAAAAAAAAAAAGACATACTGGTTAATGGGGAAACCTTGTTTGTCATAGCCACCACAGATTGGAACCACATAACCCTTCCATCTTCACCCAGAGCATCAGCAGCAACTTCTATGGCCCTTCTCATAAAAGGCACGAAGTTTGTGTTCATCATCTACTTCAATGGGTTTCTGGCAGCCAGTGGCTGAGAAAGAGATGTTCAGCTTCATTCTGAAGTAGCCGACTGCCTTCAAGGCGCCATGAGAAAGAGCTGTTTTTTCTTAAATTCCTTTTTTCCTAAATGAATTTTAGAATGAAATTTAAGCCACTTACCCCCTTATTTTAAAAACAGTTCTGTTAGGATTCTTGTTAAAATTTCATTGAATTTATAGTTATTTCAGGAAATTGTATTACATTTCCAGTATTATATTTCCATTCAGAAACATGTATGTTTTTACATTAAATCAGGTTATGTTTTATGCCCTGCAGGAAAATTTTTCAGTTTTTTCATATGTCTTGCCCATTTGTGTTTGGGTTACAGTATTTTCTGATATGATTTTTCTTCAAATCAGGCCTACCCACGTGCTGGTTTGGTTTTGTTCTTAGAAATTTCTTAAAATTTTTGCTTTTCTAATTGTTTCCCTTTCTCTTTTTATTGTTTTCGTGAATATTTCATTTTCTTCCTTTCTTGCTTTTTTTTGGTATACATTTTTTCATTTCAATAATACTGAAAAGGAGAGATAAATGTATATGCCTATTCTTACAGGTACAATCTAAAGTGTACTCATGATTTTTAAAGAACTTTTAAATAAATCTATTTTCCCTTAGTTTTCTTCCAGAAATGTTATTAAAATATGCTTAAGGAAAATAAAATTAAGACATGTATGTATTAACTTTTAAAATTTAAATTATAGCTTGAAAATGAAAACTGTGAATTAAAGTCTAAAATGTTAATAATGAAAGAATCAATGGAATCATTAGAGAACAAAGCAAAATTCCAAGCTCAAAAACTTAGCCATGTGGCTGGTGACTCATCTCTTCATAAAACAGAGATGAATTCACTTAGGTAAGTTTGTTGAATGCTTTGTTATTTCACCTCTGGGAACAAGTTGGTGGCTGTGTGAGGTTTGTTGTGGTGGCATTTTTGGACTAGGCCTTTGAGCAGTAGTACCCAAAGTTGGCCTTGCAGCAGAATCACCTGCGGAACTTTTAAAAAGTCTGGAGGTTCTTATTCACCGAGTAAATCTGAGTAGATTTTGAGTATCTGTATTTTTAAAGACTTTCTTAGATTGATATGATTGCAGGCAATTTTTGTACCTACATGTTTCAAAAATTCCCCTAACAGATACTTAAAATCATTTGCACTCTATAGGATTGCTGAAAATTACAGAATTTTTTTGCTAACTATGTCACCGTCCTTATCTTTCCTCTTTCAAAGAAATATAAAATCAGAATATTTATATACAGAGTTTAAAATGGTGATATGTCTGAAAAATGGTAAGGTCAGTATGAAAAAATAGGCTGAATCTGTAGGTTGGATTCAGGTTATGAAGTTGGTATGATAACCAAGTGTGTCTGGATTTTATCTTATAAACATAGAGAACAAAGAGAAATTTTTAATCCAGGGGGTGACATGAGTAGCATGCCTTTTAAAAAAATGAATTCTGGCAGAAATAGGAAAGATTGAGTTTGGAGCCTTAAGAAACTGATGGCAAATGAGAGAGCATGTGTTTGAACTGAAATAGTGGCAGTGAACTTAGAGAACACAGGCCAGGTTTAGGAAACATTTCTTACATAAAATCAAAAGGTTTGGATGACTTGTATGGAAGTGAGAAAAGATACAGTAATGCAGAATATTTACCTTAGGATATTGGGTTGGTTAGCCATTGGTCCATTTAGAATGCAGATGGCTGAAGGAAATAAACAGTCAATGAAGATAGGCTTTCTCTGGACTGGGATTTGCAATAAGTTAAAAGATACCAAGTCAGAAGAAGGGCATCACCCTCAAGTATCAGAAGAAATAATTTCTCTAAATACATTTGTAATAAGAAGCAGGAAAGGATTTTCAGATATCAACATGACATTGCATCTATGAAAGTAAATCAGTCATGAAGTAGTAACAACTTGAGATCCAACAGGATTGTAGTAATGACAATTAGAGAAAAAAGATTGATAAAATAAAAACTGAAAGTGTTAGTGAACAGAATGGAAATACCAGAAAACTGAGTTGGTGGAGTAGAAAACAAACTCAAGAAATTCACCTAGAATTCAGAACTCAGAAGGATAAAAAGAAATGATGAGCAAAAAAGACATGGATCTAATATACAAACACTGAGAATTGCAAAAATTTATAGTAAAATAAATAGCAGAATTTGAAAATCAAAGGGATAATTAGGAAAAGGCCTGAGATTATATTCCTAAGGAATTCCTGATTATCAAACAAAACTTAATGAAATAAGAACAAGAGCTGGATGTGTCCATTTAATTAAGGAAATCACAGGGGATCTTAAATTTTTGCTCTTTGCTATTTGACTACAAGTCTTGATAAGTTAGACATTAGGTAAAGAACTAAAATAGAAGCTGCTTTTTTCATATCCCCACCCACCCTGCTTTTTGCAAGCTCTGCATACATCCTAAGAAGGAGAGCTACTTGAATGGACCACCCCCCACTTCTTCTGGTTCATGTCTGTATTCAGATCCAAAGTACAAGTACCATGGTGTATTTTTGTCACGCAGAACTACTAGGCTACCCTTCCCCCTTTTTGTCCAGCAGTTGACTGGATCTGGCATTTACTCCATTTTGCTTTGTGCTTCAGACTATGGCCACAATCTCCTTTTCTTTCCTCACAGGAGGCCCTTCACAGTCTTAGGCACTTAGTGTAGAGCTTTCAGTGCCTTCTCTTGGTTACCGTGGCCTACAGCACCTTTGGTGTTTTCTTTGATATACTAATCCCCTTTTCTCTGGTGAGCTCAATCTGCTACTTTCCTCACCCACGGGTGATTCCGTAACTTCTTTTTGCTCTGACAGAAAATCTGACTTATCTTGCTTCTGAGGAAAGTATGTCAACCCCATTCTCCATATCAGTAAACATTGATAGAACCATGAGTTCAAGCTGAATTCAATACAAACCAAATCCAAAGCTGAACTCAATACAAACCGTAATACCAAGCGCTCTATGGAAGCAAAGCCACACTAGTCAAACCTCATGCCACTTTTAATTGGTTAAGAGAGATCTTGCTACCCCTTTAACCACATCAAGTTCTCTTGACATGAAGACATTTAAGAAGCTGATGCTTAGATAGAGGAATCACAGGTTCCTTTCCATCCATTGGTGGACCCATCTTTTCTTTTCAATCCTGAGTCAGGCATTTCTCACCAAGTTTCAGTGCCACCAGTTGGTTTTCACCAAACAGGACTATATCAAGCATAGTTTTTAATTGTCCAAGTAGAGGATCTTTGGTTTGGTTTGGTTTCTTGGTACAGCACCAGAGGACATAATACAAAATCCCATTTTATAACCAAATGACTGTGTTCTCCCTTGAATGTTAGCAGGTGCTGGCAAGTTATGGCCTGCTACCAATTTTTGTTAAAACCCAAGCGCCAGGAATGGTTTTTACATGTTTAAATGATTGAAAAAGATCTCAATACAAGATTAATATTTTGTGACCTAAAAATTATATGAAGTTCAAATTTCAGTGCCCATAAGTTGTATTGAACCACAATCACATTCCTTCATTTATATGTTATCTATCACTGTTTTTGTGCTACAAAGGTAGGATTGAGTACATGCAACAGAGACTACCTGGCCCACATTGTTTAAAATACTTTGTCCTTTTACAAAAAAAGTTTACTAACCTCAGTTCCAGAGGATGGCTAGCATCCCCTGAGGGGCTAAGACCATCTTTCCTGGGTAGAGCAAAATTGCTTTATAGCAAAAATGTTAAGTGGTGGGCCATAACCATATACTGTTAGAGACATCTAAAATAAAACAGATTGGATGTGGAGAGAGCAGAGTGCCTGAAGAATGACTCCTCTGTGATTAACGCATCCAACAGCAACTTGGGCTTACTCCTCACAGGTGGCAGAGTACTATGACCTTCCTGTGACATTATGCCCTATACATGAAAAAAATAAAATTTAATAAAGCAGGGAAACCATACCAGTATCTGATTCCTCTAATAGGCTGTTAAAATTCCAGCCTACCCTTAGATGGGACTTCAATTCCATATTAGAAGTTGAGCACTTTTTATGAATAAAGGACCCTTTAAGATGCTGTTCATTATGAAGGGAAGTAATTACTTTGCCCTCTAAAATGAAAGCATGAATACCTTCATGTTATCCTCCTATATAATAAAAGGCTAATATTCAAGTCAACTGAACGGTGGAACGACTGGTCGCTATGATGTGCACTGACCACCAGGGGACAGACGCTCAATGCAGCAGCTGCCCCCTTGTGGTCAATGTGCTCTCACAGAGGGAGCACTGCTCAGCCAGAAGCCTGGCTCATGGCTGGCGAGCACAGCAGCAGTGGCAGGAGCCTCTCCTGCCTCCGTGGCAGGTGGACATCCCCCAAGGGCTTCTGGACTGTGAGAGGGTGCATGACAAGCTAAGGGACCCCCCCCCCCAAGGGCCCGAATTTTATGCACCGGGCCTCTAGTGTAATCCTATATAATAAAAGGCTAATATGCAAATCGACTGAATGGTGGAACGACCGGTCGCTATGATGTGCACTGACCACCAGAGGGCAGACACTCAAAGTAGGAGCTGCCCCCAGCCCGCAGGCCCCTGCAGAGAGAGGCGACTGGTGGTGGATGGCAGGGCCAGTGGGTGGGCGGTGCCAGGCCAGCCAAGGCGGGTACCAGTGGAGGCCCTCTCGATTGCCCCACCAGTTGCCCCACACATTGGCCCTGATCGCCAGCCAGGCCTTGGGACCCTACCTGTGCATGCATTTCATGCACCGGGCCGCTAGTATAATATAACTGAGGAAGTTGAGGCTCAGAGCGATGGGCCTATACAGCCACATGGGTAGTAGAGAGCTAGAACTTTGATTCTAAGTGAAGTTTTATTGATTTACTTTCTGGTGGGAAGTCATCACTTCCCTTTGCTGTATTTAGAGCACTTTCAAAGCTAAGAAGTTGATTGTTTTACTAATAATTTAGTTCTCAAAATTTCCTTTCCAGACACCATGATGAACAAATAATATGATAGTCATTCAGCTATTCTTCACAATGAACTTTATACTATACCTCAGTTCTTTCATTAAGAAGACCTTTTTAAATTTTTATTCATTTTTTTAATCCTCACCTGAGGATATTTTTCCATTGATTTTTAGAGAGATTGGAAGAGAGAGGGAAAGACAGGGAGAAATATTGATGTGAGAGAAACACATTGATTCGTTGCCTCCTGCATGCACCCCAGCCAGGGCCTGGGCCAGGGAGGAGCCTGCAACTGAGGTACGTGCCCTTTACTGGAATCGAATCCTTCAGTCCACAGACTGACGCTCTAGCCACTTCAGCTGGGCGTGAAGACTTTTATCTTAGCAGCAATACTTCTTTTAGAAAAGTTACGTCCAAGATCTGGTATAGAATTTCTGTTGTGCCCTTCCCTGTCTACACTAGAATATGAAAGACAAAGCAATATTTAGGACTCACCAAGGACTTTCTGTATAACCAATCAAGATGTTACTTTATTAACATGACTTTCATTAGGAATTAACTCTGCTAATAAACGAAGATGTAAAGAGGTCTTTACATTTCTACTTAGAATTTAAAGCACAGCCAACTACTTGGGATTCTGTGGGCCATTCTGTTATTAAAAGGACTCTATAGCTTATCGGTAGACATTTTCCCTTCCACGTATAGGATGTTGGTCTCCCTGTATTCTTATAGAAGGCAGTGTTGATGTAGTAGAAAAACCACTGATGTCAAGTTAGACTAGCCTGGATTTACATCTTGTCACTTTGGACAAGTTATTATTTCTTTCTATAAAATGGGGACAATAGCTTTAATTTTGGAACTGTTCTAGGAATAAGTGAGCTAATATATAAAAGTATTAATACAATGAATACGTCCTGTGGTTATATCCCTCAGAGCAATAGCTATAGCTTTTTAAGAACAGATTGAATATAGTGCAGTCATCTGGATGCAGATAATTTTATGAAATAAAATTTCTTGACCATAGAATCTTTCTTACTGGGTTCTGTTTGGTTGTACAGTTCTAAAGAAGTCATCCTTAACTTGACTTTTGTCCTTCCTCTGGGTCATCATTCACTTGCCATTAGAAGAATGTGTCATGTCTTTCGTCTTTCAGAACACTTCAGTATGGCCAGTAAAACTTCATTTTCAAGGAGCTGTTCTATCTTACTAGTGGTTTCAGAATCCAGACCTCCTCCCCATTAGGCAATTGTAAGCTAAGCTACGCTTGGTATCTTCTTCCCTGTCATATCCTCAGGCAAACCCTAAAAGGAACCTGTGGGAATTCCCAATAAATAGCCTGAGGTGGGAGTTTTGTCTTTCCAGCATGTCAGGGTTAAAGAACTGGTAGGCCAGGGCTAAAAGCATTCCAAAGTCTCTATCACATGACAGCAAGTTCTTGTTACTTCTGACAAATAATCTTACTAAATCAGGACGAGATTACTCTGAAATTGTCTTTACTTCCTCTGTACATCCTTTATTTTGCTCCCTGAAACCAATCTTTAATCTTAAATCTTTATTGCACTACAATAAATGCCTACTTTCAAGTTTACTATGACCTCCAATTGATTACCTGCCAAAAAAAGTCAGAAAAGGAAGCAAAATTAAAAGCTCACTGAACTGGATGGTCAGGACTCACATGGGTAATCCTTTGAAGTGCCAGGCCATTCTGTAAAAACAGTACTTTCTTTTTGCCTCCACTATTGGAAATAGACTTTAAGAGGAGGAGGGTTGATATTAGGAAACTGAGCAGAGTTAAAACTACCGTGAAACCTCTAGAAAAGAGTACACAGTTAACTTGATTTTTATACTATACTAGAGGCTTGGTGCACAAAAATTTGTGCACTCGGGGAGGGAGAGGCATCCCTCAGCCCGGCCTGTGCCCTCTCGCAGTCTGGGACCCCTCAGGAGATGACCACCTGCTAGCTTAGGCCCGCTCCCCAGGGGATTGGGCCTAAGATGGCAATCAGACATTCCTCTGGCAGCCCGGCAGCCCTCGGGGGATGTCC